TAAATATCCACATTTTAGACAAGGTGCTTCACGCCTGTCATGTGTAGCCTACTTCTTGGTTTACACATGTAAATATCCACATTTTAGACAAGGTGCTTCACGCCTGTCATGTGTAGCCTACTTCTTGGTTTACACATGTAAATATCCACATTTTAGACAAGGTGCTTCACGCCTGTCATGTGTAGCCTACTTATCTCTTTATCGAACTTAGGCCTAACATAAGTTAGAGTTTTATAAAGTACGGCCTATATACAAGTGGATTTACACATTTCGTTGTCTACGATTACAATTTGTTAGTATTGTACTAGAAATGTTATATTTAAAGACGTACTGTTACGATAAAGACACTAATTTAGCCGGAAATGTTTTGCGGGTCTCTGCTAGTAATATATACATAGCAACATGAGTTCCATAAACTATATTATAATGTGACTGATTCATGGTAAATTCAACACTGTGTTCATATAACATTACATAAAAGAGCTACATTATGTATTCTAATATAATAATCAAGTTAAATATCTACTCTGTCTGAATCTTACAAACATTTAACTTTTGCTTGAGTGTTGAAAATGGAAGACAAACATAATTATCATTTACCACTACAATTTAATTAAACACGTATACATGAATTAAACATACGCTTAAACAAAGTTAAAGTAAAGTGTATATGCATGAAGATTTTGTACTATCAATATTAAAAACTATAGTATATCACCATTTGTATTTATTTTCATGCAGAAATATAGAAATGCATTGTCCAAGATGTCACTATTTCCTGGAATAACCCCTCGGACTCTCCACCGTGATGTGTGAGTCAGCAATCTACAGTTGAACTGATTTTTACAGTTCATGTGGGAAAACGAATGAGTGAATTGTATCTATAAATAGTTTGTTTTATGAGTGTTTCATGATCTTTATAGTTTGATATTAAACAGGCTGCATTGTAAGAAACAACATTTTATTTATTCTAAATGTGTGTCTTAAGTTCCTTATGTCAAAAAATTATACTTACTATTTGCCTCAATTTTGTACTTGTAAGTGGATGTTCTACAGAACATCATAGCGACTAAAATAGTAAGTGTTCCTGTTTCATTTAGTTTTTATAATAATAGTAAAGTTTACTTAAGTGATTCGATTTTGTTCTACAATAAATAATTTGTTCAGATGGAAATATCCAGAGATTGAATGCTTTAGCTTAAACAGCCCTCTAATTATTTGAAAGATCATCTAGTGTGTGTGGGGGTAGTCATGTCTGTGAACCATAAAGTCATGACATTTAATGTGATATAACATTTATGTAGAGTTGAAACATTTTACGTGACATGATACTATCCTGTCTATGTAAGTTAAGTTAGTGTATGATGTATAACTAGAGTTTAACTAGGTAGACTGCAAGTTAAACTCAAATGTGGATATTTACATGTGTAAACCAAGAAATTAACACTGTAACCTGTGTACGTTTTTTTTTTACTTTAGTTTAGTTAGGACTAAACTTTACTGTACTTAATACTATCGATAAATAAACTTATAATGTTATTCTACGACCTAACGTCAAACCTTTTTTTAAAACTTTGATAAGTTTTTAATATTCTGTTGTACAAAATGGTTAGTAAAGTATATTTACATTCCCCTTTTGTTGTTACTTCTTGTTTCATACAGCTATTGTAGCGACTTGATCACTGAGCTTTGCAGCTCTCTGCTGCAGGCAGACTGTTTATTGTAGAGTGAATAATGCACAGTTTTTCTTGGGGAAGCATTCTAACTAAGCATGCATATGCAGCAGGTTCTCAGTTAGAAAGCATAACGGTCGTACATACAAATAAGCAGCATAATAGTATAGATGTTGCTCTGTAAAAGTGATTTACAGCATCAGTCTTATCTAGACACACAGAATTTTACTAAAAAAAGCTATGTGAATTTCTTATAACCAGTCTCTCTTTTTTTTAAGTACTTGGGAAAGATAACTGTCTGTTTGGAAGGGTACAGAAACAATTAAGCTTGCATCCAATTACTAAGAGCACTGGTTAAAAAATATTTATTTTTTTTAGTTACTTCAGCTAGTTAAAGTGACCTGTTGATGAGGTTTTTTTTCCTTTAACTAGTTAAAAAATTATCTATTACACTGCTCACTATGTTGTAGATCATGATTGCTCATGCAAAAGTTTAGGTATAAATCGTTTCGTAATCTGCAAGTGATTTTACTAATATTTAGTGAGATGTGTGAATGTGAACGTTGGTTGTTGAACTGATAAAAAAGTGTACGTTGTTTGTTTAGTTGTAGATGATGATTTTTTCTTTTATTTTTTTATTAAAAAGCTAGAAATAATTATAGTTCTCTCTAAAAGTTTTGCTGCAATTGGTAATATGTGTAATTTATGAAATACTAGCAAAGGTACCTGGCAATGTCAGATTTAAGAAACAATACTATAAATGGGGGTTGGATCATCCTGTTTCACTGTTTTGAGCTGTTGTACATAATGTTTGTCCAATGGAAAGATGCTTGTGCCACATGTAGCATTAAATGTAAACTTCGTGTATTTTGTAAACAATTTCTTCAATCAGTTGATTCCTTTACCTGTGGGGGGGGGGGGTCATCCCGAGTTCTTCTACAAAACTATCACAATTACTCAGTCAGTACCTCACAACAACTTATGAAAACATACAGACAGGTGGACAACTGTGTGTTATGTAATGCGTGTTCTCATGATTATATACATTAATTTTCATAGTAGGTATTTTATAACACTTTGTGATGCAGATCAAGACTTGACAGAAACTAAATATATCCAACAATTACATCCTTAAAACATCAAGACATTAGAGAATCATGTTAATAACTACACTGTATTTTTAGGTGTTACATTCAGCAAAGTGTTAAAGCTGTATGTTAATGACTGTAACAAAACATGAATATATATTGCATAATAGAAGTTTACTACTAAATTATTAGTATGATTAAAGAAATAAAATGGCCTTAGAGGTTCTAAAGTATTAAATCAATCTCCTATGTAGCAGTCTAAATTATGGTTTATAAAAAATAATCTCATCTGACAGACTAGTAACTGAATGAAAACAAATGTTTCCATAGTCTTCTATAAATTTCAAACTGTATTTTTACAAGTTTCTTTCATGCACTCATCAGTTATCAACAACTTGGTGAACCAAAATTGCACATTCATACATGAATTATAAAGATACAATCTCAGTTAACGATGTTAAATATATATTTTTAGCCATGGCATAGTGGCTCATAGAACGGCTCCGAGTTTTTCAAGTACAAACTTTTAGCTCATAGCTCCATCATCTCTTGACTGATTTGAGATATAATTACAGTTTTGGACTCAGGAGGTCAAACCCTTTCGATTGACCTGTGATTGTGCCAAAGGTCTCGTAGATTAATTTACTGTAATTCTGCCTAAAAGAATTTCAATTTTAGGGGAGGCTGGGAGAGATCCTGATGAGTAATAAAATCAAATCAGGTATGCGTGCTCCCCATGCTTGGTATTGCTAGCTCACAAAAATAAAGCTAATAAAAAGGAAAAAAAAAATCCTGCCTAAAATAATTTCAAGTCCCTTTTATTTAACGGTAAATCTGTACATAAGTTGGATAATGTGCATGTAAATTTATATAAATTGGTGCACGATATGAACATGTTTTTTTTTCCAGCTTGCCCCTGTTAGGGCTTATTGGAAGTGGGTGAATCAGTTGGTAGAGTAAACATGCAGCTTTATACTGTTAAGGTAAATATGTCTGCATGCTTATTTTTTGGAACATCTTTAGCAAAATAAATCCTTTGAAACTTAAAGGCCAGGGATTATATAATATCGGCACGTAAAACTTTGTATTTGTCAATGATTACATTTACCCACTGGTTTGAAACTATACTGTTAAGTAGCTTGTGTATGTCTGTTTGTTCATGACAAAGAATTTCCCAACTCCTAACCTCTGATCACTAATGAACTTTCAGGGGTTTTTGGGCCCCAGAGAGATTCTGAAATCCCTCACTTTATTCATTTTTCTCATTTGTATGAAACTGACGGCCATGTTAGTCCCCCATTACTGTCTTAGTGATTGCAAGTGACACCATCCTGCTCTTTACGTCAAGCCAACAAAATCACTGCTTTGGTTCATGCAGGTACCTTTGATTGTTCAGATAAATCTCTTCTTTTAATTTTTTAAGCTCATATAAACATATGGAATTATAAATAAAATAAAATAGACTAACAGGTATTTTCTACAAGTTATGTAAGAGCTTGACCCAAAAGCTTGCATGGAATAAAACGTGTCCAAGGTACAGAAAATGTCTATTAATTTATTTATAATTCCACATTTGTCATGAATTTAAAAAGGTAGGAGGTTAACAGACATTTTCTATGTGTTAAGTACTTGAGCCAAAAGCTTCCACAGAATAAGATTTAGTTAAGCAATGTATAAAAGATTTTGTTAGTCTATTTGAATGAAATACCTTCCCATTATGCTGAAAAAAAAAGGAGGTTTTGTAGAGACTTGAGGTACGTGTTTTTGTTTTTTTCAGGATATAGTGAACTGGTACATGGCCATTAGGTCTGCAAAACTTAACCAGATGCAAATTGCATTTCCTGAGTCGGATCCTAACGAAGTAGCAAAACATCTTACTCCAGAATTTCTGAAAGAAGGTTGGTTGAGAAAGAAAGGACCTAGATCTGGAGACACGTACAGACTTAGGTGGTTAACCTTGGACAATCGCAGACTAATGTACCTCACAAACCCTTTGGTAGGTAACACTGTGAATGTGGTTTCAGTGGTATTTTAGGCATTGTTTATATGTTAGAGCTTAGGCTTTAATGGACTTCTCCTGGCTGTTTCAGATTTGGTACATTACCTCTACTCACATAACTGGCTATTCTTGTTCAATGCTGCCCTCTATATGCAAAAAATTGTAATGCATACCATAAGCCTTTTGCCTCCCCTACATTGGAAAAGACGCATTCCAATGTGTCTCTCATGCGACAACCCTCCACCAGTGAGAGTACCACACCCTCTCGTTATGCATGTGACTGCTTCTATTCAGTTCTACCAAATTATCACTTCTTGTTTGGCAGTGCTCGTGTTTTGAATTTGCTCTTCCGAAGTGGTTTTTAAATCATTTTTATACAACTGACGAATTTACTTTCTATTTTTTATTTTTCACATGTTTGTATTAATCTCTCAAACAAATTGTTTGATTTATTATTTACCATGAATTCTGAGTGTAACCCTATCGAAACATGTAGGGGTCAGAGGGCATGTCATCATGTTTGTAGATTTACATTCAACATTTTATTTAGCTGTTATTTTATAAACATATGTCAATAAGTTTGGTATCAAATTAGATTATAATTCAAATTTTAGTATTATACATTAGTTAGTTTCTTAATTTGAAACAAAATATTAAAAAAAAAAGGCTAAATATCCATTTTTGTGTTTCACGTGGTATGTGGCCTTCTGGGTTTGGTCAGATTACATTTTATGACGCCCACAATACAATGTCTATAGTTTCATACGAATTAGAAACTCAAATGTTTGATATTGGCCAGCTAGAATATAAAATATGAACCGCCTACCTTTTCTATTTGCCGAGATATCATGATATTTAGCAAACCCACCATATTGGCTCTGCCCACCACTTCATTTGAGAAGACTTGTTTATCTAAGCCTACTTTTATATACCAATAACTGTAATTGGTTATAATAAACTCTAGAAACCAGACCTAGAGCATCTCTATAAAGGAAGTGAAGAAGTAACATTTGAGAATATTAAAATGTATGTTAAAGTTAATTATACATGTAACATCTGTGGTTTGTTATCAATGACTAATTATTGAACCTGAGTGACACTGATTTCAAAGTAATTTTGTAGCACAGGTAACATTAAATGAATTGTTCTTAATATGATACCAACTAAAATACTATTCTTTCTGACTAGAAACCTAGAGTTTAATTGCATGAAATACATACTGTATTACTCATTACATTTTTAATCTGGTCTTGTGAACAGGATCCCTATCCTAAAGGAGAAATCTTTATAGGCTATAAGGAAAATGGCTTTAGTGTGGATAAATACATCCTTGATGTAAAGCAGGTCGGTTTTGGGTTTATATTGGAGACTCCCGAACGGTCGTTCATTTTTAGTTCAGATTCAGAGGAAGAGCAAAAAGAGTGGATAGAAGTGCTTCAGAAAATAATGAATCAACCTTTAACAGTTCAAGATAAGAACAGTAAGTAATCTACATATTTTGTTAGTGACTCTATTCCAAGAAAAGCACCAGGATAGAATGGGTATCTTTTTTAAATCTAAAATGATTTTTGTAAGCCAACACCACTGTAAAATAAGTATTTTCATCAACTTCAAAAAACAGGAAAAAATTCTAGAATGCAACAGATATGTATTTAGTGTAATTTTTACTCAAAAATACAGTTCATTGCTGGTTGGGGATGGATGTGGCCTAGGAGTTAGCCACACTGTGGATTCATAGTTCATGTCCTCTTGTCACGAAAGAAAACCGCACTAAACACAATGTTGTGGGTGCATTATATGCACATAACTGTAATATAAAGTTTTTAGTCAGTGTTCGAGAGAGTTTAGATTGACCTAAGCTTCTTAGAACTTTAGCTTCTTTCTGTTACTTATGGATGAAAATATTAAAATAATAGCAACAAGAGAAAGTGTCAATATATATATATATATATAGTGTAGTTGTCTTTTATCTATAGTAAATTAACAATTTACTTTTTTTTACCCT